TATAGATGATAAAAAAACCTTAAATTTAAAAACTTAAATTAATTAATTAATTAATTAATTTTAAAACTTTAATTTTAAAACTTTAATTTTAGTCCAAAGTCCAGTCCAAAGTCCAGTCCATAGTCCAGTCCATAGTCCAGTCCAGCTTTTACATCATGCCCGCAAAAACAGGTGGCGAGAATTCAGCAACTAGTGTTGTGTGACAAGATGACGTAGACCAGTTGTCAGTAGAAAGTCTCTCAGCCAATCAGGAATCACTCTTACGATACGGCTAAAGTACGGTATCACGCGAGCACCGTATTTACCCAATCAACGATCGAACTTACGGTACAGCTTACGGTACCGTAACGCGCGATACGGCAAGTGTCGGCTTCATCYAATCAACAATCGAACTTACRGTWYGRMAAACTACGGTACATACAAATCAATCCAATCAGGTGTGAGTAGAAAAAAATGCCAACAAATCAGAATCCATGAATACGATACAGCTACGATATTTTACGGCACGGACGCGATTCGTCATCGCCGTTTCCCACTCATACAAAATCGCCTCTATGCATCGACTCTCATGTTTGCGAAATGATGAGTTCTCTATAAATTCATATCTCGAAATAATTATGTGTAGTATTATCTGATGAAGATTTACCGTTCGACTTGAGCTTTTATATCCCAATATCTAATTTGTCCACAAAGAGCAGAATTATCTCTGACAAAGAGTGTTCAATAGATCAGAAACACCTATATTATGACGGCCGATACACTGACGCACAGTAGTTGCGATTGTACTTTACAACTTTGATCTACTCGATATTGTATTTCAAAAAATCATTTCTTTTATAACATTGACAGTTGATTTATAAGTTCTCCCCTCAAAACGCCGGAATGCGTTATCATAGAGACAAAACTGAGAGATAGAGAGAATAGTCCCAAGACTGTATATCGAATACAACAAACTCCTTTATTCTTTATGACTTCCAGGTGTTCTTGTAATAAATGCGAAATAACAAAGCTTCAAAATATCAGCGAATGCTACTGTTGCAAGGAACTTGATGGCTGCAAAGAGTTCCTTGAGAGCGACATTGCAAGGGATGATATCGATCCTGAATCTCCAATATCTTGCATCACAGACCACCCTGGTTTTAATCAATGTTGTCTTCAAAAATGGAGTTTACGTCTATCTGGCACAAAATACAATACCAGAAAAAAAGAAAAATATAAAAAGACTGAAAGTGAAGAGAAGTAAGTGGTGATACTCTTTTCAAAACACAGGTTTTTATGTAACATATATATTGCCAATAGTCAGATTTTTCTAGTCCTGGTAGCTGACAACAAACATTCTGATTGGTGGATTTAATATAATTGTATATTTATAACCATATTTTTACAAAAACAAAGATATCTTTCAGATATATGAGAGCTGTCGCATACAGGGAATTCACAAGGTTAGTATACGGATATCTGGGGAACAACAAAAGAATACCACTTCCTGCATGTGCATATTCAGCAATACGAAGCAAGTTCCAGGCAGTTGAAGAAAGCTACAGTGGTTTTGAACTGGAGGACATTTTAATTGAATGATTGTAAATAGGAAATTTTGATTTGCGATGCACCAAAACCAGACTGAATAATATTTTGAATGATATATCATGACTTGTTCAATCAAAAAACATATTCATTCAGTCAAATAGACTCTTCTCTGGTTTCGGGGACAAGTAGTAACATTTTTRTGTCCCTTCATTGGCTGTTGGCATTCGGTGCAGCATCTCTYCTTTCGCACTCCTCGTGTTTCTCTTGGTGTTACCTCGACTGAAAATAAACAAGTTTAGCATGAATAAAACAGCTTGATTAGACCAATATGCATATTATTAACCTGTTCCTGTAGCTGGRACATCATTTGAAACCATTCCATTACGTGCCCTCTTCTTGGCAATGGCCAGATTCTTTTCTTCTTTTTCTAGCATTGTATTCATGGGTGGAGGYGTTGTAGCCTTCAGATGCTCCTCTGCAGTTTTTAGTTRTTGTTTTTCCATACATAGAAACATCTGATACAATTCCTCAACGTAATCTGTTAAGTTCAGTAAATACAATAAAGTTGAAGATATAAAACATGTCTAATTGTCATTAGTATAAACATACTAATGGTCTATCACTCATACTGCACTGTGATTGGCTACTCTACTAATGGTCTATCACTCATACTGCACTGTGATTGGCTACTCTACTAATGGTCTAATTTGTGATAGACCACTCGCGGGAAAATCAAAATAAATAAATTATAAATTATTTTACGGATTTCAATTTCATGGGCTATTAGCTCGTAGTCCACTTGACCTTGAGGTCTAATTGTAATTATTATTACTTGATAACAGTTTATTAGAAGYGGAAATTTTCATTTTCATTTCCTGCTTGGTCTATTGTACTTTTCATTCAAAACTGTTCTCCTTACCAAAATTTGGCAAAACCTTCACCTCCCTTACAGTTGCCTGTCCATTTTTGAATTTAGGGTAGGTAACAGTCACTTTCGCTTCACCTTTGTCATCTATCTTGGAATCCCTTCTCAAGTTGAAATTAAAGTGGGTAACTGCAAGGATGTGTCTACAAAAAAAAACATGAATGAATGACAATCCAATCTTAGTCTTATTACTTCTCTATAACCACTAGACGGTTATAATGTGTGCGTGTTTGGGGAGGGCGCTAAGTGGCACTAAGRCAATACCTGCAGTACATTCCCGTGTAGGAATAGCCAATCATTTTAGGTGCAAATTGGTTTAGGCATGAATGAAAACCTTCCAAGCAATCTGTCTGGGCAATTGGGGATGCTTGCATGATACCCTTCTTGAGGCTGTCTTTTGTCAGAGCTTTGAAGATTTTGTCATAAACCACATCATCTACAATGGCAAGACATAAAAGCTAGATAACATAAGAAAATGTACTTCATATCATATGGGTAGGTTCAAGTGCATCACTGCAGACAATAAAAGGTTAGTCAGCTAAAACATCAACAACTACGTCTTTTTTGATGTTGATGTGGATTCACAACAGTTTATCAAGTAGCTTATAAATACCTTTATCCAACCACCTCCTATGTGGAATGTCATTCTCATGAGCACACTTGTTGAATAGCACATTTTGTATTCCAGTGTGTACRTTTGTTATGTGGCTGAGAAATGACTGGAACTTTGCCCAAATCAACTGACCATCGCCAGAGTGAGTTGTTGTGGYGCTCCAATATAAATGGTTTTCACAAGGTCCAATCCATTCTTTCAATGTCTCGTTGCCTTTCAGTTTGCWTATTTTGGTCAAAACCTTTCGGATCTCTAAAAAAAATAATGTTAAAAATAATGTAAGAACCTAAATAAAGCTTGCATCTTCAACAAGAGCCTTTCTACAATACAAGTTATAAGACACCTGTTGCAGTTTTTGTACCTGGAATTTGGGAAAAATCTTTTTTAATTTTATAGAATAATATTTAGCTTTAAACTTACTTTTTTTGAGGTGCCAGAGGTCAAAGTAATGAGTAATCTGTGTCAAAACKTTTTTAMAGTGAGCTGCTATTTGAGTGTGTCGATCTGARATAAATGTGTTGACAACCATCCCAGAAGCAAGTAAATAGTTCATTGCTTGTTCAAATCCCATAAACTCCATTGCAGGACTACTACCAGCTTCATTTCTCTACAAGGTAATTAAAACAAAATGCATGGATGTCACACTCTTCTTCGATTGTTTCCAAGTCTTCTCCGTCACTCAAACCATGTGCCCTGGGTTTTGATTCCTTTTTTTCAATTGATTCACTGAGAGTTTTGATGGATAAATTTAACTGTTGAACTATTAAACAAAAAGGAACAATAATTATACTAACTTACACAACTAAAGAATTTCAATACTTGTCTTACCTTTCCTCTGCAATTTTGCCTTTTCTTTCTTCTGTATAGCCAGTGCATTCTGCGTCCTCTGTAACTTTCCATCCAAGAGGATCAGCCAGTGTCTTCGAAGAGGCCTCCTATAAAGCAAAATAAAAACATGTTCAATTTTGTAGGGCATTATTATTATTAATATCTTTAATAATAAGCAATTCATTTTTACCTGTTTTTCTTTAGGCTTGGTGGTTGAATCCTGTATTAAAAGGTCAATGAAAGAAGGAAAGCTATCATATAGTTTAGAACAATAAGCAAAATGTTACTTTGCAAAACTAACCTTGACAAGYACTTGCTTGCTATCCGTCTGGGTTGATGTAGTCTAAAAAAAATAAAAGTAATACTCAAGTCATTATTTTCATTTTCCCTCTTCCCCCATATCACACAATAAAATGATATTTATTTAGTTCCTTATGCATATRAAAAGGATAAAGAACTGAAATATTTTACCTGTCCATTGAAAGCAGACTGGGTCGATTTTTCCTACAACATTAAGTAATACATATATAAGTAGTTCAATAGATACTATATAATTACACGTACTGTATTGAATAGAGCTCAGTATGTCAAAAGTGCATAGCTGTCATTTCCTGATCCTCCATGTTCCTTKGAGTAACAAGGAAACCAGTGCCTTCATTTATTATTATTTTATAGCATAATTTTATCATAAACATGTGAATGTCATAGCATCATTTTCTTTTCCTTTTTCTCTTACACTCAAAAAGACAATTAAAAAGATGGTATAGAATTGAAATTGCATAATTTTACYTGTCCAATAAAAGCMGTCTGAGTYGATTTATCCTACAARAAAATAATAATWTATAAGTGGTTCAATAGACAACAGCATGTTGAGTTCACTACTGCAGTTTACCCAGCTAAACTGATTTTGATTTGTATTTTAGTCAGCCACYTCTATCACTATACCTTTTCCACTTGATGCATTACACCACTTTGGAAATAKGAACTTGCTTCAGCTGGAGATTTGAACTTTTCTTTTAGCACAATAGTGACATGTTGACGTAGCGATGATCCTAGTAAAAAAGGATGTTGTGGATGAGAATTTTTTTCGCTAACAATGAATATAAAATGGACAAATYGCCGAATGAATTTTAATAAAAGAGTTCATGGTTTTAATCATAGTCTTATATGCATACATCATGCACAAGTATATTCATCCAGAAGCTTACCTGATCTAGTGAAAGAAGCACAAGTGCTCTCTCTGATATGCACGGCAGCCTCGGCCCACAGTTGATGTCCAGCACGAAAGCTCGGCCATTGAGTAATGCCTTTTGAAACCAAGAAGTTCACTAACGCAATGTCATCCTCCTCTTGCCAAGTAATGTATCCTGACCGCTTTGGAGTTGCCAGTTTTTCACACTACAGTAAGATTCAACAGAATATGGCGAAGCAGTGAAGGGACATTGGTGACTTACTTACTTATATATGCCAAGCGGTCAGCAAAATATACAAGAAGGCAACTTACTGCTTGAAATCCCAAGTTTCTTCTAGTTTTTATTGGAGATTTTTTGTCTTTCTTGGATGAAGGCTTTCCAGGTGTATTGCCACCAGTTTTATGTGGCCTTTTGGAGGAATCCTGGTCCATCAGCAATACGATCTAGAGTGAAAATCACACCTAATCACACCTCGATTTCGGTCAAAAACGTGGGTCCATTTACATTTTGCTGATTTCGTGACAGTCACAAGGTATTCAAGTCTATCTTTATGTAAAAATATGTCAAATGGACCCAATCATAGACGAGATATGAGCAATTTTTCAACCACAGCAATTGCGTGATGCCCATAAATGGCGTCCCTTTTGAGCACTRTTATATCAAACAAAATAACTTAACATACACTCAGAACATTCTAAAATGTCCATGGTAAAACATATAAACTAATTCCTGATATTTTATCTTAATTACTTACCTTTAAAGTAGTATAAAATGTTGTTTGAAACGAGCTTCTTTGAGTATTGATCACATGTAGTCCACGAAGCCAGAGTGTGAACAGACTCCCCCGCAAAGCTCCATATTTGGCATTAATTTGGCGCCTTTTCGAATTTTGGMCGTGAGGAGAATGGGGAGAAAGTCGAACATCCCAAAAAAAATATCAAAAATCTGTAGAATATTCGGAACTCAACCGATTTCAAAAATTCTTTCGCCAAAGTGATCACACGGCTCTATATATTTTGCTAAATTAATGTCTCCGATTTGATTAGTAGCACTTTAAAACCAATAGGCAATGATCCTTATTATAAGCATTGATGGTTTATTAAATATGAGCCAAGAACTAGTTTCAGGAAATTGCTATTCACAAATACATATAATAATAGCTTAATTGCCTCTTAAAGTATTTAGCATTTGGCTCGCTTAAATGTAATTCTAGATTTTCCAGAACTAGCTAATTATTATATATTAAACTTTAAATACTCTTACACTTCAAACAAATGCATTTAATAACACAAATATTATATTATATTACATCAATAATATTATATATAAGCATATAATGCTTTAACTTAAACATTCTTAGCATAACAATTATATGTAACTATTAACATCAACAGACATAACATTATATGTAAAGCTGCACATGATGTGACACAGTGACATGATGTAAAGAATTGAATTATCATGATTTTGTAAAGGATTATAAATGTAATTAAGTTTCGAACAATTTACAATGCAATACATTTGCCAAAAATGCAATCCAATAAGTGGTGGTAATTAATTGGCCCCAATAAAAAATTAGACCTTTAATAATTTTGCAAATCATGCAATCTTGATAAATATAAACTTATAATTCAACTCAGCAACTCATTAACCAAAATAATAGGCTAATTGTAAGCTCACTCAGGCCTAATGAGCGTCTTCAACTATTCATAGTAAATATTTACTTTATTCATCTTTGCTACGAAAAATGCTGTTGCAAATTGCTCTGTATTTGTATGTTCTCTTTGTTGGCCGTACTCCTAGAACATGCTCTTCCAAGAAGTGAAAAGAATTTTCTGATGTCATATTTCAAATTAAATGCATAGTACACTGCTAGCAAAACAAGAACAGCTTCTGAAAAATCGTAATGTTCTAATTCTAACAAAACAGTTTTGTCAACTACAATAAATATTTGCCCTGATGTTTCTTCATCGTCCTCTTCAACTATTCATATTAAATTACTTTACTTATCTTTGTTACGAAAAATGCTGTTGCAAATTGCTCTATATTTGTATGTTTTCTTTGTTGGCCGTACTCCTAGAACATGCTCCTCCAAGAAAGTGAAAAGCATTTTCTGATTGTTGTCATATTTCAAATTAAATGCATAGTACACTGCTAGCAAAACAAGAAGAGCAGGGCTCAAAATAACGGCTGGTCAACGGACAATGACCGGCCAAAATTCGCACTTGTCCGGTCAAACTCCATTTTGGCCGGTCATCTTGACCGTTCAAGACTATAACGTGAAATAAAAAAAAAACTATCAAAATAACTACTGCAGCGGATTCAGGTCGACTGTAAAGTAAACGAACGATTCGGATTTTTGTCTGATTCAGTATGGTGAGTATCTGTCTGGTTTTTCGTTGTAAACCAGACAAACATTGCGCCACACACTGCATACAAATGACATGCTGATTTCGCACAGCAACAATAGTTTTCAGGTAGAGCGGATTTCGTATGACTGTGCAAAAAAACACGGTACTTCCGTGCTGTGACCGTACAGTGCCATAGCGGGGATGTATTGTTAAATCCTTATTTTTGTTTGGAATCCTAGAAGGCGGGGTTCCGTGTCCGTGCTGCGATCCATGCCTTTGCACAATCATACAAAATCCGCTATAACGATCAATTCGTCAGTCGTTTCAGTTCTCAGTGCGCTCTCTTCATTCACTGTTGGTCTCCTTTGCTGATTTCGTTGCAGATTTTCTTATGGTGTTCAGATCAATTCCTCCCCCAACAAAGTCTGCGCACTCGAGCGACGGTTTTGTCTGCCGTGCTTGTAATATGTTCCGACTACATGCAGTTTAGTTGTTTTTCGTATTTGTGAAATGTCAAAGAAAAAGACTTGCCATAAATCAGTGAATAGTTATACAAATCAGTAAAAAGTTAAATTGATCTAATTAATCATCGGCGTCGATCTTCGTGCTTTTTCGCTTTTTTCGTGAAATTTGAGTTTTTAGGGKTTTTTTTTCTTCGCAAGATTTTCACGCTGCGTGCTAAATTTTTATTATATGAAACGCTCAAAAATGAAAACCTTTTGTTCTTTTTTGTCTTTTGATGCCAATAAACTATGATTTTTGTATGAATAAGATATGTTTTAATTTAAGTTTTTATGTTTATTTTTTTTCATTTTTCCTGGGCTCAATTATCCTGAATGTGAATGAATCTGAATCACTGGAGCGTTCAACTCCGTCCGCCATTTTGTTTACAAATGAAACGAGTCCCATGCTAGCTCAACCTTATTTTACACAGGGAGCCCACTCTATAGACAACAATTGTTTGATCAAGTACATTTATAATCAAGTCGCCAATGGCAACACAACTCGAAGATTGATTGTGTAGACGAATAAAGAACGATACGTTGAATCAAATTATTATTACTTGACCGTTAGAATTTTGAGTATCTGATTTATGAATATAGTTTTTTTCGGCGATCGAGATAAATCCCAGTCAAGCCAAAACTATGTAAAATCACCGCAAGTGTCAAAAAATAATAATAACAATCCCCATGCCAAGTAAACACAAC